TCTCATCTCATCTCATCTCATCTCATCTCATCTCAACTCATCTCATCTCTTCTCATCTCATATCATCTCAAATTATCTTAATTAGGTTGAACCTTTAGCAACATCTTTAACTCCATGTTGCTGCCTCATAAGCATGATGCAATTAATGAGCATATTATTATTTTACGTTTTAAGGCTCACACGATCCACTTGTGCTCGAATTTCAGTGGCAGGTCTACTAAGTTATTGATTTTATTCTGCCCTGAATAATTGACCTCTGCCTCGACTATAGGACAAAAATATAAGACTAACTTCTTGCATAATCATAACCTTACTTTCATCGCTTAAGTAACCACTCATAGTTGAAAGAAAGCCAAAAAAACATTATTCACCAATAGAAATTTTCAAGAGTCTCATCAATCCTTCAGACCTAGATATCGTGGATCTATTATTCATGTGAATGCTCATACTTGCTTTTTTCTTCTTGACACTAAATTTACTTGATACTTGAATTTCCTCCGACAGATGTCTAAATTTCTCATATTAACCCCAACTATTTATAAAGAACTTAGCTATACTCAGTAATATGGGTCATATAATCTTTTACTAGCCGCATCTGTGGTCTGTCTGTCTGTCCACAAGAATACGTGCAAAATGAATGCTCCTTTGTCCGCCCCTTCTAATAGATGGCTGCACAGTAGTCTCATTAATCGAGTGTTCGTTAAGGCACGTTGTTTGCCTGACTTTCGGTTCATTGAGCGCTTGAAAGTCGTGAACTCTACGACAGTCGCGAACATCTCTCCCTTCCTCCTCAAGCACTCCACTTCGCTAGACCCCCCTTCAGCATCACAAGTTTATTTGGGTCCCAAGAGAGGCCGAGTTGAGTACAAGGAAACAAGGTAAGCGGTCATCATTAGATAAACTCATCCCCTCATGCACCCTGGTTATTCTTTTCCCAGGCCATCTACCCTCTTCATCAACTTTGCTTTTCATTCGGTTTTTGGTGGTACTCTTGCTATTCCACCATTTTTTCATATTTTGATATTCTTTACGTCCGTACATTTGTCTATCTCATGCCTTTTCTGATCAAGTAAAACTTACCATAGTCCCACTGGGTATAGACACATGCACAGGCACACACTCACACCGACTGGCAGTTCGGACTTGTTTCTATGAGACTCGAAACCACTTGGAGCATAACACATTGGCCATTTTTTTCTCCTGCACGCAGGCTTACGTGAGCATGAGTAGTGGTGCACATTTGACGTAGCCTCTGGCTTCCCCAACCGCTTTTAGAAATAACTTTCATTTCCCTTCAGTTACTTTGACTACCCGGCTCTCAAGTGTTCTGCCTCTCTAACTTCCCTCTTCCAGCCTCTTTTTAGTTTTGGCGCTCTTCTATCGCCTGTATTTTCTCGTCAAGTTGTCTATGAGAGTTAAATACTTGAGAGGCAGAGCCATATGATAGGAGAACTATGGTCCTCCCTTTGCTCAGACAAAGCCAACATTTCCTTACACTTGAATGAATGTGTTTCAGTGCAATTCGCCATTTTCTGCACAAAGAGACAGCATATGGCTAGAAGAGCGAGGTTCAGATTTACTCCTATTGCGATCACATGAGAATCATAGACACTTTATTCAACTCCACAAAGAAACCCTTGACAAATAGCATCCTTTCATGAAGCCTGGTTTGATATTTTGAACTGAGCTTCTTCATTCAAATAAAAGTTTCATCTGAAGAGACTATCTGTAGATACAAATGTTAGCTGGGTTTCGAATAAGCTTTTGGGAAGGCATTGATGTAGAAACTTTCATTTCATACGAATGTGCAAGATGGGGAGATTCGTTAGTTGATCTTATCGGAAGACGATAGTCGAATCACGTTGTTCAGCAGCCGTTTGATTTTAATACGCCGTTCAGGTCGACAGTCCACCAGGCATTCGGATGAAACCGGGCTGAGCTTTCTTCCTTCTTATGACGAACAAACTTAGAGCTGTAAATCATCCTTTAAAAGGCCTCAAGCTAGTACTAAGTCAAGAAGACTGTTCAGCTAAATCCTATATGTTATATATACGTTTAAATAAAAAACTAAAATATATAGAAGTTGGTTTACCTTGATTTCGCAACTTGGTCATATTGGTAGGAAGACTTAGAGTAACGCACCTAATCTGGGGTCCATTGTATTCATCATCATTTCCAGAGTAGGACCGTGGACGTGGTACATTCCCAGACGTTTTGCTGGTATAGTAGTCGGCATCGTCAGTGAGTCTCGCCATTCGTAGCACCATATTACAACTCGTCAAAAGGGACAAGTGAAGCCCATCCTTTGACCAAACGCGTGCTAAACAGTTGTGGTATCTCCTCTTCTGCCCTGGGCTATTCACATTTCCTAAATCGTCTTATCATGCCTTCCGTGTCAAAATTTTTACCGTGCTTATTTTTACCGTAGATTTTTAATATTTATTTTAATGTAGAAAATATATAGCTATAGAATGATTAGATTAGTTTTC